TTCTGTCTCTTGTCAAGTTTGTTTAAAACTAATGGAAGCAATTATCTAACCACGGAGAGATGTGCGTGGCAGGTAGCGGCTGTGGGTTCTAGGCGCCAGGCGGTCCCATGTTGGCCGAGGATGGAACAGGTGCCCTCCTCCCCAGGAGGATTTCCCTCCCGTGGCACCTGCATTTCCACACAGGTGTTTTCTCCCCCAAGAAACAACTCTTTTGTCCTCCACAATTCTTTCTGGGGCTGCAGCGTCCCTAGGGCCCAAGGCAGCAGGCTGGTCCGCAGCTTCCCTGCAGAAACCCTGCATCCTGAGGCAGAAGTGGGAGCCAACACCCCAGTGGGACCTGAGGGGCCATAACCTTGGGGATTCCTCAGAGGCACCGCCTGGGGTCCAGTTCACACATCAGCTGCAAAATGTTCCCTCAGAATGTGCAAGTCAGAAGCTCCCCACACCACACCGCCACCCCCATCCCCCACCAGGCTTGGCATCCTCCCAGCCTCGGGAAGAACCAACCCTGCTGGGCGAGGGCGACAGATCCCTGAAGTCGGGTGGCAAACCCTGCTCCTCCTCCCACCACCTTCATGGCAATCCCACTCCTCCTCCCACCACCTTGACGAAGGCATGAAATGTCCCTGAGCCTCAGCTTCCTCATCTGCAAAATGGGCCAGTTCCGCTCGCCGGTGCTGCCTTCCCATGCCTGGCAGCGCACCCGCTGCATGGAGGCTGCAGGGACTGGGACAGTACGTGTGATCTGCATTCAGGTTGCAGTGGCGGCTTTTCAGGGCATTGTAGGTTTTTGCTGGTACATCAAGGGAAAAGTTTTCTGGGAATCCATTGGATTTTAATTCTCTCCTGAAGACTAAGAGAGAAATCAGGAGATCAAAAACAAATACGTAAGAAAACTAAAAACTAAACTTCCAGTCGGGGTGCTGCTGCTGGGTTACTCGCCTTCCCGCTGGGTGGCTGCTGACGCGATCTCCTCTGGGGGCTGTTTCCCATGGGGAGGGAAGTGCGGGGGGTCCCGTGCGGATTCTGGGCTGAGCACAAAACAGGACAGAAGCCCCCTTTCTGCCCTCAGCCTGACGGGAGTCCCGGAGCGGCCAGGGGAGGCTTCACCCCCACTTCACCCTGACCAGGTGCCTGATGCTGTCTGGTCCCAGGACACCAGCCCTGGCCTCAGCACATTCATCAGTCCTGGGGGGATATGGGAGGACACAGGAATCCCAGTTATGAAGCCAGGGAATGAAACAAAAATGGGTGATGTGAGGGGAGGGGTGGGGCAGGTTACAGGTTTCCATGAGAGCCAACATCCCAGCCAGGCCTGAGCACTGGGCCAGAGCCAGCTCTGCCAGAAACCGCCAGTCACAACCTCTGTGTCCAGTCTGGAGAGTCCAGAGTGAGGGGCCTGGATGGGGCTGAGGCACCAGGTTCCTGCCTAGAGGAGGCTGAGTGACAGCGGGCTTGGAGCCCGGGCCCAGCTCAGAAGGTGAAACTGGAAAGACTGCCCAGTGCTGGCCAGAGCCAAGGTTCAGGCAGAGAGCAGGCCACTACCGACTGCTGCAGAGGCGAGGGCAGCACAGGACTCCAAGCACCCACAGAAAGTTCTGTAAGTAGCCAGGGGCCTCTCTAACCGACGCCTCAGGTTCAGACTCCAACCATGTTCGTAGAGAGGCAAAGCAGAATCCAAATAAGTCTATGCCAGGCAACACCGTGAGAAGCATCCTCTCTGCACACGGGGACACTCGGTGCATGCCAACACCCACACGTACATGTGCACTTTTCTGTTGTCCTCCTGGAATGCATTTAACCTTGCAGAGAGAGGCAAAGACTCCAAAAATTAAAAAGGAAGCAAGAGGAAGGAAGCAGGTTGAAGAGGAAACAAAGGTGAAAAATAGAATGGAATGTGTTGAGGTTAGTAAATATCTCAGCATTGTTACAAAAGCTGGCTACGGTACTGCCTCTGAGCTTCCCAGTAGCCAAAGTAAAGAGGGAAAACATATTTAGGCAATTCTCAAGGAAAGACAAACAGGATACAGGGAGGAGTCCCCATCCCAAGACCTCAGACATCTCTCCCTTGGAGCTGCCCTGCACACTCACTTGCCGTTTCTATA